GAGTTTTCGTCCTCAGCGCGCGTGCGATCGTAAAACTATAGGGAGCCACCTTAACGGGCGCGATCCATTCAACCAAAATTTCCGGGTTGAGGTTCGAATATTTCATTGATCCATTGACCGCGACGGGTCTGGAAGGTCTCGTTCCATTCCACTCGCAAAAATAGTTTCGCGCTCATTTAAAATGGCGGATGTTGGATCACTGTTGCTCGTGTTAGAGTTAGAAGACGATTTCGACCTTATCAATGATTTTGTCCGAGCTGTTTCATGAATCATGCGTAGAAATTTAAAAACTTAAAAATTTAGAAATTTAAAAATTTAAAAATTTGTTTACCACCTATCGACTGACTAACCGAGCGAGCGAGTAAATCGTTTCTTCCCTAACTAATTGTTATAACTCATTCTAGCTACGCTACGCTAGCTATCACTCGTTAAAAATGCTGACTGTAGCATAGAAATACCTAACACAATCAAAATATATCAATAACACAGAAACCAAACAGAAACAGAGACGAACGACGCGCGGCAAGGATTAAGTTTCGTGACATTTTACAATGTAACACGGGGTTTGAGTGAACACCATTCTTCAGTCGTTGATTAACTGGCCATTTTGGTAGTTTGGGGCGCGCTTTAGAGGCCGCTGTCGTTGGGGAGAGGTGGCCGATGTAGAGATGTTAAAGTAAGAGTGAATTATGGACCGTCCGCCGGGACTAAAAAAATGTGGCCGCTGCAGAGAGATGGCGGTTGTATGGAGGTGGCAGTTAGTGGAGGTTCGACTGTATTTAATAAATTCTTCTTTCTCTTATAAGAAATGAATGGAGACAAGTCGAAGACACTTAGCATAAACACTTTGCGCAGTTTAAAGTTTATAGTACTATTGTCCTGCCCTAGCTACGTTTATATGACAACACTGAAGCAGTTTTGGCAAATATATAATTCAGCAAACAACTGTTCAAACGCACAGCCTCGTTCCAAGGAGCCATGGAAACGAGGTTGAATTGTATCTTCGTCGACGTCACGCTTCTCGGAAAATTTTTGGATTTTCTTGACTTCCTTATGTTTTCAGGCGCACTTCCTCAGAAAGCATCACAGAGTCTCAAATAGGGCCTGAACACGAGCCACGTTTTGCCGGGGATCTCCCTGTAGAAAGGTGTAAATTCCCGGATGTAGCTTCTCCGCGCGGGTTAACACAATGGAGTAATCAGCTTCTGTACCCAGCTGCAAGTCTTGACGTAACTGTCGCTTAGCAACGTAATCCAGGGGAACTGTGCCACACGACCTAAAAACGTGACAGGGTAGGTTATAAGAGAAAAACTGGCTCGACTGATAAAACCAATAATTATTACAGCTGAATCGCTAACCACGGGTATATGCAGAACTGACGTAAAATTGCATTATTACAGCGTGTATGCAGCATAGTTCACGTAGACTGTTTTAGAAGTAGTGAATCAAGGTGTGGCAATCTGAACTTCGTCAAAATAGACTACTCAGCAAAGAAGATTCACATACACTATACATACGATTTAGCTTCCAAGTATTTAATCAGCGCCAAAGCTTTACGGTCTAGAAGGCGTAAAAAATTGTCGATGAATCCTTCACGGACACCACAGACGTACGGGAGAAGATTGAGCTGTAAATAAACGAAAAAACAAGCTACAGGGCAAACATAAAAAACGTTGAAGGACAACAAATATTTTGTTAGCCTGTCCACAGGCTATGGCTAGAGGGGTCTGACCGCGCCTGGAAGGGTTGAGAAGAGACTGGCGGAGAGTGAAGTGGCCGAGGGGAGAATGGGGTTGGGAGTGGGAGCGTCGGAGCCCGTAGACAAAGGTTGAGTGTCGCCGTTCCAAGGAACCCGCTGTGCACTAGATTTTGTGTAACCTCTGATTGGTCAGATCAGCCCTCTCCCTCTCCTCCTTTCTTCCCTTCTTTTCTCCCATACTCGACTAGAGAGCCTGTTCACAGGCTAATCTTTTGTACTAAGGTAATATACAATCAAGGTAATCAAAATAACTGACTATAGAAACAAAACTAGCCTTGGGCGATTTGAGCGTCAATGCAGAAATACTGAACACCTAGGGCGTTAAAAATTAATCATACTTACATCGAGCATGAGCGTTTGCACCAAGAGTGCGATTTCGTCTGAGTTGTGAAATAATCCCCTAAAGCACAGAGAGAAAAATAAATGTTCCAAATTACAATCACATTACCCTGCTAAGATGAAAGTCCCCAGTAACACAGAGAACGGTATGGATAGGCATCCTAGCGAAGAGAACAAACCCCGTGTCATATTCATGTTGAACAGAGGCCAAGTTCAATCCTCTGTTTAAATCGAATAGGAACACTGTCAGACTAGTTTATTAGAAATTTAGGGCCGAAAAAGCTCTTAAAGTGAAAAATAGTACCTGTAAAATTGACGTTTCGTGGCAGCTTTCTTCAGTATGTTGAAATGAGCGAGCCATGTCATAAAAAACGCAGGCCGGCATGAAATACAACTGATTTAACACGGACTTGCTAGGCCATACGAAAACCATAGGTTTACCGCCTGTACGTATAATACGCGCGAGAAACACAGTAACAGCTCGGTCTAACCATGCTCAGCCATGCCAGCTTGAAGATCAGTGTATTTAGAATGTTTCCGTGTGCGCACACGAACATTTTTTAATGGTTCGCTCATTTCAACACACTGAAGAAGGGCTTAGCCCAAAACGTCTAGTCTACCTAAGCTGTACCACAGTGCACAATAAGAGTGACTCCCTAGCACGTGTTTTAGCCTTTTTGTTCATAGTTTGGCTTTCACGAGTATATCTTTGAGTGACCGCCCTCTTTTGTAAGATATGAGGGGCGGTCTTTGTATCAATGGTTGTTGCTCTATTAAATGGCAGTTTTTCATGAGGATTTGTTTTAGATTAGGCGCTGCTGGTTGGTATTGTGTTACGAAAGGCAAGATTCGTTTGTTTTCCTTTGGTTTTTGTTGGAGTGCTACATGTAGCACATGCACCTGTTTTCGAACTGTACTTTGAATCAGGAATAAGATTCTCCTGATAACTTCTCACTTAAGTGTGATTTGAAGTTTTGAATTTTCTCTTGAAATACTCTTTTAGAAGATTTTGTTCTGAGAAGTCTTAGAGCTTCTCCTTTGATGAAGCCTTTTTTAACTCCTGGTGGGTGGCACGAAGAGAAGTGCGTGTATTGGAATGTTTCAGTTGGCTTGAAGTGTGTACGCACATCAAGCACAGCGTTGTTTCTGAATCTTTCGCCTTCATAAATGCTGGTATCCAGAAATTTCTGTTTCAGAAATTTCAGCGTTAAATTTGATCGTTTGCTTGTACAATGAACTGTATTATTCCCTCTCTCTTAATAGTCCAGAGGGAAAATATGTCGTCTATATAGCATTTCCAAACGAGCGGTTTAAATGCGCTTTGGTTTAAGATTTATGTTTCGACCTTAGCCATAAAGATATTGGCAAAGGACCATGGCTGTACCATGGGTCTGTAGGTAGTGTTTTCTAGTGAACTGGAAGAAGTTTTCTTGAAGGATTAACCTTAGCGCTTTTTCGAGTCAGTCGTTTAGGGATAGGAGGTTTGTTGTCGTAGAATATTTCGTACGCTCTGCATACTGTGTGTATGTAGACCCGTTGTGGTCTGTTTGTGAAAAGGCTCGTTACGTCCACCGTAAC